AAGTTTCACAATTTGAGTTGAATTACTGAAATAAATGAACTTTTCCATGACATTCTAATTTACTGAGATGCACCTGTAAATACAGGAAGAGAAAAAAACAGCAGGTAGGTCTAACAATGTCTTTTTACTTCCCATTTAACTGAGCTTTAAATCACAACTTCTGCATGATCTTTTGGTAATGAGTTTACTATACACAATAAAACAATTACATAAACTGATTTAGGTTTCTGAAAGTGGAAAAACATTATATGGCACATTTCCTTTCTACTTCTTGTTTTTCAAATGAAAAACATTCAAGAACACCACAGCAATTACCGCACGCATTATGATAGACCTATAGAAAAAAATATTTGAATCTTTTTATTTTCTAAGAATGGCTTAACTTGAAGTGCTGTAAAAAAAAATGTTGGGAAAAAAAGTATTTTAAGGTACTTTATGATATGTTGCCATACGGCAACAGCATACAATAGTGTGCCATATGGCTACACCATGCGGTAGAGGGTTAATTAATAAATAAGCAAAGCCAGTGCAAGACTTGAGAGTTTTAGCTTCAGGCTGAACTAGAACAGAAGTCATACAAAATAAAACAGGCATCACGTTTAAAGGCACAATATGTGATTTTTGCCGCTGGAGGGCGTGTATTCAAAATAAACAAAGAGACAAAGGCATAGTTTGGTGCCTTTAAACAACTCATACCCTGATAGCACACATACATCTCGGAGACGTCTATTTCATGTCTGCATTTACATCTGCAAGACGTATTTTTTAGAGTGTTTGCTCATCTGCAATACGGCTATAGGACGTTTCCTTTTAGATGTCAAATAGACGTCTATTAGATGTCTTTAAGATGTTTATGATTTAGAATGTATGTAAAACTGACATCTGAAAGACGTCTGTCAGATGTTTGTCCAAAGCAGATGCTTTCCAGATCAAGAGATCTTTAACAGACATCTGAAAGACATACATGTGCTATCTGGGATACACACCACGAACTTTACAAGTTTTTCTTTGAAGTTGCCATTTATTGTGTTAATACTGATACTGGCTCTATGGTTTGGGATAAAACACCTTGATGTGGATTGCGGAGTTATTTCGGGTGCGTGTCAGCGGCTCTCCCGCCTCGTCCGGGTCCTCGGGCTCCAGATCATCTATGAGCTCTACGGTGGATGTGTTGGCCGCCAGCTGCAACGCACCCTGGCTGGACGTCTGAAGCTGCAGGGCGATGTTAATGGCCCGGTTGATGGCCAGTCCCAGACCGTGGATGCAGATTTCCCTATGAGCGTCCAGAAGTTTCTGACACCTCGCCAGCTGGGCCTTGAAGTCTGTTTTCATATTGACGTAGACGTCGTTCCGTCGTTTGGGCAGTTTGCGGGGCAGACGCTTGCGGAGGGTGTACTCCATCGGGTCCATCTCAAGGGTCGAGCCCTCCGGGGTGGGCAACACCATCGAATTGTGGGGTACAGATGCGGATACCGGGCTGCGTGGCTCGGCCATGTCAAATCACTGGAAAAGCACTGTACAAACAAAACAAGACATCCATTAATGAATGTTTAATGATGATCGGTTTTTTTTTTCAGCGAGGGAAAATGACACAGCAGACCTGTCCGCGGTCATAAATGTTCTAAATTGGCACTAAGGTTAGCAATTGAATATATTCATTATTTATGCTTCTATATCTAGGAGTACAAAATAGCTAAATTAATGGCGACTAATTCATAAGCGTTTTTGATTCACTTAAAAGAACCGGCTCATATGAGTCAATCTGTTCAGGAATCGTACTATGTTATTGATTCACTAAAAAGAACCGACTCATATGAGTCATCGTTCGTGAAACGTTATACACTGGTCGCGCTGTATGTTCAAAGTACCTTGTTGTCTTTGGTATGTTTCACTCTATCGTTGCGGCGCCGCTAAACAGAAAAGAACTGCGTTCCGTTCAGATAGCATTTTTCGTTGTCGAATTGTACTACCCACTGTTTTAATGGGAGGGAGCCAAATCTGACAGGGTAGCACAAATCGACAGAACACCGGTCGAGAAACATTCGGTTCTGGTATATTTTGTATGGAAGTTGATGGACATTATCAACATGCTACATTAGGCATGAGTAGTACCTTGAATTAGATGAGCTTGTTTTTCAGCTGCACTGTTAACTAGCTGGTAAATAAATGAATTCGCGTATTTGCAGGTTCGTCTTCTCTCCTCAAGTACCGGAAGACCTCTCACTTACACAGGAACTGATACTTAAGATGCTCTGTTTGATTACATAATACATACTGCTCTTTTCTTGGATGAAACTTATATATTCTTTTATTTCGCATATTATATAATTATAAATTAAGCCAAATAAAATAAACTGTTTCTATGTGTCTAAGTTGCCAATTTGAAACTGAACATTGCTAAAATGTCGATTATTGCGCTTTGAGGGGCTTTTATTTTGGAATTCAACCAGTTTAGAGGCGTAGTGTGTTTGGAGAGCACACTCACTGAACTTTATGAAATATCTGTTTTATTTGTCCGGTCTTTTAATTCACTGTTTATCTAGTTTAATTTAAGCCATGTCGGACACATGGAGCCACATCCAGGCGCACAAAAAGCAGCTGGATTCCCTGCGAGAGAGGCTGCAGAGGAGAAGAAAAGACACAAATCAACTGGGCATCGGTGTGTTGAGTAAATACATGCTGGGAGATCTGCAAAACTATTAACTGTACCTTAAATGGCATTTAAAATACTACCCAGATATGTAATGAGAGTCACCACTGCAAGCCATGTTGCTCATACAGTCAGCTTTATTGACCTGATATCTAATGCTGAATATAGAGACCACACAGGATACTGTCAGAAGTGTGGCATCATGATGCTGAAACTTTAAATGCATGCCAAAGGAAGAATGAATCCGGTTTCAATCAGGTTTATTTTTGCAATAGTGAGTTTAGTGGGTCTGTGGTGCCAGCTACTGTATTAGATCTTGTTTTTAACAGAGATTGGATGTGTTGAGGGTGGATCCGTAAGGAGCGACAGCCCTGGACCGGCACTACAGAGTCCTCTGCAAGTGGAAGTTGAGCAGCCTCCAGACCCGGAACTAGAGAAGAGGCTGCTGGGATACCTGTCTGAACTGAGTCTTTCTCTGCCAATTGATTCCCTAGCCATCACCAACCAGTTAAACACAGTAAGACCTGTGTGCATGCTTGTGTACACAACCAGTGAAAAACCTGAACATGTACTCATTATTACTATTTCCCGCATTTGAGAAAAAAATTGTAACGTTTTTAAAACTGTGAAGTACATGGATAATGTGAATCATAAAAAACTTACTGTGATTACTCTAGAAACACTCATATCTATGTTTTTGTCTTTCTGTCCTTCTCACCCTCCCTCATTTGCAACTTTGACTCAGTCGGAGTCTGCAGTTTCCCATGCCTGCATCCAAAGTCTCCTCCTCAAATTTTCTGCCCAAGAACTTATTGAAGTTCGGCAGCCATCCATCACTGCCTCCTCGTCCTCTTCCTCCTCCACCCTTGTCACTTCAGTCGACCACACCAAACTATGGCCTATGATTGGCAGCACAGCTCAGCCACAGAGAACTGCCATTAAAAGAAAAGCAGATGAAATCATCCATCAAAAAAGAACCCCAGGCTCCTCCCCTTTGCTTCAAGCACCATCTTCACCTCCAAAGAAATCCTCTGCCTCACTGGGTCCTGCCTCAAACTCGCAGTTTACTGAATCTTCTGGGGTTGGAGGGGGTGGACCAGAGAAAAAAGGGCGGAACAGTAAGGTGCAAGCATCTCATCTGGACATGGAAATTGAGAGTCTACTGAGCCAGCAGTCCACTAAGGAACAGCAAAGCAAAAAGGTATAATAACTAAGTAGCAAGTCAGCAAAGGCCTTGTGTATTTCTGTGAATGTGGAGTCTGATGAATGTATGTATGCTTGTGCCTCAGGTGAGCCAAGAGATCCTAGAGCTGTTGAACACCAGTTCGGCAAAGGAACAGTCGATTGTGGAGAAGTTTCGCTCACGAGGCAGAGCTCAAGTACAGGAGTTCTGTGATCATGGGACGAAAGAAGAGTGTGTGCAGTCGGGGGACACTCCTCAGCCCTGCACCAAGTTGCACTTCAGGTCAGTTCACACTCACACACTTTAAAAAATGTTTTATTAAAATAAATAACCATATAAAATGTATATAAGTTAAATAATAATAGTATATGAATTAACTATATAATTATACATATATGTATAATATTATCTGAACATATTATGAACAAATAATTTAGCCATTTTTCACTTTTCATTTGTTGAATTCTAATTTAACTTTCCAAGGCGAATCATCAACAAACACACAGACGAGAGCCTTGGTGACTGCTCCTTTCTGAATACTTGTTTCCACATGGACACTTGTAAATATGTTCACTATGAGATTGACAGCCCTCCTGAAGCAGAGGGTGACACATTTGGTCTCCAGGCAGGGGCCACTGAGCTTGGACTGCACTCCACTGTGGGAGACAGCAACGTTGGCAAGTTGTTTCCTTCACAGGTAAAATATCGTAAGAATTGACCTGTTCCACAGCTTCGATCAAGCTATAATATACAGTAGTTGACTTGAAGCTGAAATTCGCCAAAACCACTATAATATAGGAATATAGAATTAGGCATGGTCTCTTGGGTAAGGTTGCACCAGTTCGTAAGTTCCTGCTCCTACTGGAATGTAAAGTACACACTACTAGAGGCTTAGTAAATACTAGTTAGCATGAAACTAACTCAGTACTTTATTCATTTGCACCATTTGTTCTTAAGGCAGAATTGTGACCCTGGAATTTTTCGAAATTGAGATGTATACACCATCTGAAAGCTGAATAAATAAGCTTTCCATTGATGTATGGTTTGTTAGGATAGGACAATATTTGGCCGAGATACAACTATTTGAAAATCTGGAATCTGAGGGTGCAAAAAAATCAAAAAATTGAGAAAATCGCCTTTAAAGTTATCCAAATGAAGTCCTCAGCAATGCATATTACTAATCAAAAATTAAGTTTTGATATATTTACGGTAGGAGAGTTGCAAAATATCTTCATGGAACATGATCTTTACTTCATATCCTAATGATTTTTGGCATAAAAGAAAAATCGATAATTTTGACCCATACAATGTATTTTTGGCTATTGCTTGAAATATACCCCAGCAACTTAAGACTGGTTTTGTGGTCCAGGGTCACAATTTAGCTAATAGGTTGTAAGCTCTGGAAAATAATGTATAGTCAGATAATATAACATCACGTGTACCCTCAGTGATCTAATAGCAGCCTTCAAATACGTGAGCAGAAGTTGTGTTGCAATGCCATACATTTCTGTTTATCATTGATTTGAACTTATTTTGCCTCATCTAACTAACGATACAATACATTTCCATTGTAATAAGATACTACTTACTCAAGATTTATTTATTTCACATGCACAACATGGACCGATGCCCACGGATGCTCTCTGAGTTTGTGTTGAAGAGCTGCTAACAAAGTAATTCATTCACATAATGTTCTCTCTCTCTCAAATTCTAAGCAAGTGTAAATGTCAACGTTAACCTCTATGTCTAAATGATTGAAGTCTGTCAGGTTAAACAAGAGCTTACTGAGGTAATTCCGTCAATATGCTATTTTTTTCAACCGTTACACCTGGTTGTAAGCTTCTGTTAATATGCAGCGTATATGTAGAGTTACATTTTAACTAAGTTTATTGGTGCAACGCAAATGTAGTAGTAATGTGTAAGTTGTAACTCAGTGCCCCTTTACATCAAAAATAGTTGTAACTTATGTACAGCTGGTGCAACTGGCCCTAGTATGCGTTTCTGACCTGTAATTGCAATCTTCTCTCATTCTCTCCTTTGCTGTTGCTGTTCTTGTATTTGTCTACATATTCGAAAACTCATTTTTATTATGATTTCAAAGGTAAAAACTGTGATTGGCATTTTTATTTTAGGACATAACAGATATATGCCCTCTGACTTTATTCCCATCTCAGTGGATTTGCTGTGACATCCGTTATCTGGATGTGTCCATCCTGGGGAAGTTTGCAGTGGTGATGGCCGACCCACCTTGGGACATTCACATGGAGCTTCCATATGGAACACTCACAGACGACGAGATGAGGAAACTCAACATTCCTATTCTGCAGGATGACGGTTTCCTCTTCCTCTGGGTGACAGGAAGGTAGGGGCTCTGAGGAATGACTGAACACAAAGCTTCTTGAGACCCTTTTATCTCAGTGTAACAAGATTTTGCATCACTTTTACCACACTGATAAATGTAAACTTGATACCAAATAAAATCATCCTGTAATAACATTTGTGATTATAACACGGATGTTTTTGATATTCCAGAGTTACATTTTCCAAAAGCTTCTTTATTTTGCATGCCATAAGAAAAGTTATCTATGAATAAATGACATGAAAAATTGAAAGGAGGTTATGTAATGCTATCTTGGCAACAGTCCAAATGCAGGTCAACAATAGTTCATTTTCTGTCTTCACAGAGCTATGGAGCTGGGCAGAGAGTGTCTAAGCTTATGGGGGTAGGTGATTTTACATGTGGAAAATGTAAAGTGAGTGATCTCTTTAAATATAACTGAATCTGTAAACTAAATCTTTTTGTTTTCTGTCACTCAATTAGCTATGAGCGTGTAGATGAGATTATTTGGGTGAAGACTAACCAGCTTCAGAGAATCATTCGTACTGGAAGGACTGGACATTGGCTAAATCATGGCAAAGAGCATTGCTTTGTATGTGTGAGAATATACTCTACCGTTTGAAATTTTGGGGTCAGTAAGAATTTTTTTTTTTTGATGGGGGGTTGATAAGATGTTTTTAAAAGTCTGTTTATTTTCACCAAGGCTGCATATATTTGATCAAAAAATACAGTCAAACAAAACTAATATAATGTGAAATATTATTACAATTTAAAATGACTGTTTTCTAAATTTAATTAATTTTAAAATGTATTTTATTCCTGAGATGGCAAAGCTGAATTTTCAGCAGCCATTAATGCAGTCTTCAGTGTCACATGATCCATCATACTAATAGGCTGATTTGGTTCTTATCACAGTTGAAAACAGCATCTTCATTTTTGTGAAAACTGGTGCATTTTTTTCAGGATTCTTTGATTAATAGAAGGTTCAAAAGAACAGCATTTATTTGTTTTTTAACTGTTAAAGTTTTTATTGTCACTTTAGATTAATTTAATGGATCCTTGCTGAATAAAAGTATACAT